ATTATTTTTTTTTTCTATATTTTTTTATTTTTTTTTTATATTTTTCGATATTGAATAAACTGTAATATGCCATCAGCCATTTGTATGGTGTGGCACAAGCCTGTTGCCAAACTAAATTTCATATTGACAGCTATTGACAGTTGCTGTTGTTTTAGTTGTTATTATTGTTGTTGCTTGTGGTGTTGTTGTTGTTACTTTTTGACTGTTGTTACAATAAAATTTACATATTTCTTATTTGCAATTGATAATAAAATTGAATTGTCTATCGGGCAAATGCAAGTCACAATTATATCAGTTGTTTTTTTTTAGACTTTATATTAGTATTTCAAATTATTGATTTTAAAAAATGATTCAAAATTTGAAATTGAATTAAAATTGAATTAAAAATTATTTAAAATTGAATTAAAAATTATTTAAAATTGAATTAAAAATTATTTAAAATTGAATTAAAAATGATTTGAACTTGAAACTTAACTTGAAACCAATCAAAAAAAAAAGGATTACTGGCATAATATACCAGGACTAAAACAATTGAAATAACTTATTGGTACCTATAACAATAAGTGATACCAGGATTGTATGAATCTATCAAAAGAAAAACTTAGAATCATCACAGGAATCCTAACAGGGCACTGTAGACTAAAACATCACCTTACAAGACAGGGTATACTTACGGATGCAAACTGTAGATTCTGTGTAGAGAATGAGGAGTCGGCCACACAAGTGCTGTTAGAATGCCCTGCACTAATGCATATACAGAATAGGCTACTGGAAATATATATTCTTACGATAGAAACAATAAAACTCTGTAAAATAGGTTTTATACTACTTTTTATTGACGCAACAGGGCTTAGGGACCTACTCTAAGCCCAAAAGGGGGCACAATAGATTCGACGGTCGCAGTGCTACATCTCCTAACATTAATTCTAATTCACAGAAATTAGAATTATATTTATTATAGAAATGTCTAATTAATTTTAAGTGTTAATTTATTATTTTAATTTTTGTTTAATTATTTTTTTAACTATACGCTTCTTTATTTGGCATTAGAAAAACATTCCGGGATTTATTGTGGAATTAATGGCATTTTTGGTGCCTACTAAATGTTCAGTTTTAGGAGTTTTACAGCAGGCGTGTTCACTACACGAACAAGTTGTGTGCATTTGTGTAGCTACGCCCAAAAACATGGATTTGCTATCTAAAAGCACTACATACCAATACCAATAATATTTACAAAAAAAATTTATTATGATTTAAAGAAAATATATGACTTCAAATTTACGCTTGTCTAAGCCTACGTAAACACCTCAAACACTTCAACTAAATTAAAATCTAATAAAATAAAGTTTTAATTAAATTTTTGCGCACTTTAACTGTGTAGTTAATGCCATAATAAAAAGAAATTTTAATTTCAAAATTTATACAAATATGTATAAAATATGTTTTTCTAAGAAAAAAAAATTATTTAATATTTTTTTTATTTTTTTTTCATATTTTTATTATAAATATACAAAAGAAAACGTAATTTTCTCTCATACAAGTGTTATTATAAATCAAAAGAATTTCCTTCTTTACTGCTACTGAAGCAGAAAATTGCTTTCAACATAATTTAAGTTGCTTGAAAGTAGCTATACGAATGGCTAAGATAGTCAAGGTATAACAGTTGGTAAACTATTAAACAAAACCAACATATTTTTATGCTACTTCGTGGCAGTCAGTAGTCATATTTGTGGTCGGTGAGGTACCAACACTAAAAAAATTCACCACATTTTATTGCTATTTGCGCACTCAAATTGAAAAATCATCAGCTTGCGCATATCAAAAATAGAAAAGAAAAACTATAGAAGCCGCAAAGGATATATACCTGGAACATAGAACTGTTGTTGTTGCCGTAGTAATAACATTTGCCAACAAAACAAAGTGGCAATGAAATAAGAAAATTATTATTTACTATTAACAAAAAAAAAAAAACAAGTAACCAATATCGCTTTGATACAATTCTGTCTGCTTCTGCTGCGCATAAATAGAAATCATCTAGAAAATTACAAACCCAACACCAGAAGCCTCGACCCACTCGCGCTTGCATACGCACACCTGAGCTTTAGCTACTGTCTTAATAACATAACAACCAAATCTTTACTCCGGAAACTCTGGAAAGAAATTACAAAAACGCCATAAACGCAACATTATGTCTGTCTGTCTGTCTGTCTAAGTGACTTTATGTCTAACTGACTGTCTGTCTGATTCTCTGACTGTCTATCTAGTGGTAAGTATTTGTATCTGCAGTTGGCTATAATTACGATAGCAAAGTTAACAACACATTCACTGCACTGCACTGCACTGCACTGCACTACACTTGACTGATGTGGCGTGGGCTTCCTTTTTCATGCAATACTTTTAATTTTTATTTATTATTATTCGCATTTATTTCATATTTTGCTTTTAAATCGTTTGAAGTCTGTATTTCTGAAGTTATTTAACTTTTTTACAGGATGCGTTTAGACACTTGCGCACCAACGTCACTACTCTTTTGACTACACTTCACCATAGCCACGTTATGTTACAGTTTCTGTTTCTTTCTGTTAAGTGTGGCAACAACGGTGTAGCTTCAAATGTTATTTCTTGGCAACATTTCATTTGACGTGTGTAAACATGCGTCGTTGGTTTGCATAAATTTTAATACACAATTCTTATGCAGTTATATGCAGTAAAGTTTTAAGTTTTATTACTTTTTTATTTTTAAAAATTTTTTATCACTATTTTATTTCTTTCATGTATTGTTTAACATTTTATTTTATATATAATAGCATGAAAAAATTTGATTATCTACATACATTCGAACCATTAAGTCAAGTGTTTATGCGCTGCTGTTATTGCGGCAACATGTTGGTGGTCCTACTATGTAGAGATGCACTCTGTACCTTTTTTTTGATTTTATTATTTTTATGCATTTTATATTAATGTTCGTTTAAATTTTAAAACCAAATAAATATTTTAATAAATAAATGAAATGTATAGTATGGATTAAGATGGATTAATATTGAAACTAACAGTTATAACTAACTGTTAGCTTTAGATAAAATAAAATTAAAAATAATAATTTGAGAAGAAAATGTTGCAAATGAAAAAATATCAAGTGAAATTAAATAAATAAAATAAAAATATGCAAAACTGACTTTATTAATATATGTATAAATAAAACTAACTTTATATATATATAAATGGAAAGTTTATATATAATATATTTATAAAGTTTAATATTTTTTATAAAGTTAATTATTTAAAAAATTTAATATATCAGAATTTAAAAAGTTGTGTATTATACGAATAATTGACCAATAATTGACCAAAATTAACAAATGAGTGAAACAAATTAAATATGTTAATATAAGAGTTTAATAGTTAATAAGAGTTTAATAAACCTTTCTTTACTTTCTGCAACTCGCCAATAACAGATGGAAAGCACTAAGGTCATGTGCAACTTCCAGGTTAACGTGGCCCACTTATAATAAAAATAAATCTCTGGAACTCATCAAAAAAGATCGCGTAAACACTGCAAGGCTTATTGCGGTTCTTACTGGTCATTGGTGGTTAGGAACTCACGCAGAGAAACTGCGTATTTCCCATAACTCTCACTGCAGAAGTTGTGGAAACCCGCGGGAGAAAGAAACAATAATACATTTTCTCTGTGAATGCCCAGCTCTAGCATCCAGAAGATATAGGTTTTTAGGAAAATACTTTTGTGATAGTTTATCAGACTGCTCAATGGTAAGGATGAAAGACCTGTTAAATTACCTAAATTCGGTGGGATGGATTTAGTCTCTACTCTTCTATACTAGGGTTCTTGCGAGGAATGTGGTAACAAAACGGCGAAAAATCGCTAATTGAGGTACATTTGAAGTTATCTTATGACCTGCCACTGCAACCAACCAACCAACCAAGAGTTTAATCAAGTAATGAAAAAGTAGAATAAAATTAAAAGGTACAACATAAGAAATAACAAATGAATATGTAAAGAATCTAAATAAAAAAATATATTGTATTAACGTATGATTAATATAAAAATGGTGATATTGCATAGCACATAGGTGCTGCACAAATCATTATAAACAATAATTTTTTTTAAAGATTACACTACCTTAAGCTTATATAAACAAATTTGTAAAAATAGTAATAACGTAAACATATATTTAATATAAAAATTATTACAAAAAATGATAATAATTTTGTAAAAATAATACTCATAAACCGTTAAACTATTGCTACTATACTGTACAAAACTCTTAGCCATAAAGTTCTTACTTTTTATATAAGCACAATTCCAGTATAAATGTCAGAATACTTAGCGACATACCAACAAACCAAATTAATATAAGACCAGAGAAATTATCAATACCCAGTTTAACGGGTCCAATATCAAAATTATAAAACATTGAAGCTTTCATTTGATTTTGCTGTTTGATATCAAGATAATCAGCAGTTATCTTCCACTCCCAATACTTATCAAATCCCGTTGAATGCCATGTCAATATTAGATCATTAAATTTTGGTAGAAGTGGCCATAGACGTGGTACATAAGCTACCGTAAATTGAAAATATATATCATCGATCATCAATTTTAAGCGACTTAAAGCTTCTGTAGTTAGAAATTCACTATTACCAAAATGTCCTAAAATTATAATAATTTTTTATTGTTCTTCTTAAAATATAATATTAGACCCAAGTCACATACCAAATTCCATGCGTTCCAATACAAAACCCATATTTTCAATTTTTGATTTAGAACGCATTTCATCGATACTATAAACATGAAAATTCGCTAGAACACCCATAATAATGGGCTATATAGAATAAAAAAAGCAAAAAATATATAAATAAGGTTAAAATTTAAAATTAAGAGGAATCTAAAAATGGGAATAAAGAGAATAGTTCGAAACAAGTAAAAATGGAAGCTAAAGAAAAAGGAATGTCATGGCTGATGAGGATATAAGGAATTAGGACTGTGGAATAGAATTGAAATTTAATGTATAAAACTGAAATAAAAGTAATTTAAATATATATTTAAATTAGTAATATTTACATCATCTTTCACAGCACGTATAGCTGTCACCCAGGCATCTGATGAACCTGTCCAAGGTAACTGGTATTTATAAAGACGTTGTAAAGAGTCTGCGGCTTCATCAAGACTGTAAAAAGTTAAACAAATATTAAATTTTTATCGTTTATTAATATATCACTTACGTCACAAGTGTTAGTATCGAAGCTAATCCGCTACCATAAATACTTGTAATAATTATATCAACTGCATACATAGAAAAAAGTAGAGCCCTTACAGTAGTTGACGTAACAAATTTCTGAGAACTTTGTGATATGAAAAGTTTTAGTGTTGTTACCAAGCCAAAGTAAAAGTTACTTTTCCAACACTGCTTATTATACACTATAGTTTGTTCTATGGTAGTGGTTGCAAATAAAGCAATAGTTTCTATAAACAAATAGCCCAAAACGCCCAGCCATAATGAAAACTGAAAAGGTTTCAATGGCAGTGACCAACTTATTATTCTCTTAGGTGCAGGTACCATGCATGTTATACCAGAACGCCCCAAGAAAGTAGTAATATCCAAGTAAGTATAGACTGTATCCCTTTTGAGAAAAAAAATGCAACATTCTTATATATAAAATCTTTATTTTTTTTTTAGTTCATTTATAATTTATTTATTAAAAATTTATTAAAGTTTAAAAATTTGTTTTATTTACCATGAATACATTCCACCGAAAGCTGTATGAGTTTTTCCATCAATTATTAAACCCAATAGTCCATCACCAGTAGAATTTGCATATATGAAACCCCATTCTTCTGTTTCAGCTGAAGTCATTGAAAAGATATACATATTATATATGGGTTACTATAACTGATATATCTATTGAAATACTATATAAGTTTTATATATTTTTCTTACACGTATCAACTTCCACAGTACAGTTGTATAATTCGCACAGAGTTAAGAGTACACGAACTTCAGCTCCATTTATATGTACACTTCCACGTTTGTTATCCAAAGCACGATCATTCATTTGGGGCCAAATATTCTATAATATTTTATATAAAAAGAAATTAAATTGCTATTGTACCTAAGCATTTACTTACATAGTCAATGACTACCATTGGTCTATAATCGAATGCTCCAACTACTACTTCACGACCTTGTAAATCTTGTAGTTTATCTATATATAACCTTGGTAAATTTTCCATGGGCTCACTTAGAACATCGATATGCGCAACTTCATACAATTTCTCTGGTTTTGACCACATCGATCCCACAAATTTATTTGTTTTTAAGGTGAATTGACTAGAGTTTTTGTTTTCAGCTTCAATAATCAGGATGTTTGCTTGATCTAAGATCAGAATTAGTAAAATTTTTACATAATGAATTTAAATTAGACTCTTATATGGTGTTAAAATATTTCTTTCTGAAGATATATAGAAACTAACATAAATAAAAGATTTTATTTTTCTATTTATATTTTTCTATAATCGCTTTCTCTGTTTCTTTATTCCTCATATCTATTATTTTTACTCGTCTACGTTTTTCCTTTTTCTTTTTTGTTTGTTTTTGTTTTTATCTTCTAATCATTTTCCCACTTTTCAATGTTGTCATTTTTGTCTATATTCTATATTTTTCTATATTTTCTATATTATTACTGTACTCTATATTTTTTTTTTTATTTCAACCATCTTCTAAATTTTTGTTTGATATGTGGGTTCAGTATCTTAGGTATATTAAAAACTCTTCTATAGTTGTGACATTATGTTTGGTAATTACCTTTAAATAACTGCCCATTGAAGAAATCCTCGGAGTTATTGCCGTTAAAGTAGATGAATAAGAATCTAACTTGTTGAGAACGCCATAGAGAGTATACGCTTGCTTTAAGGAAGGCTTTCGCAAAAATCGGTATGTGGTCCTGAGAAACTAAAAAGGTCTATATAAAATTTGTGAGAAAAATATACAGTTAAGAAATTATATATATAATTATTACTAATACTTATATAATAATTATATAATAATAATATAATTATATAATAAAGATTTATAAGAATATTCTCACAATTACTCGATTCTGTAGAGCACTAATTTTTTTTTGTATACTAATTGAATATATATTAATATATCAGATATACCTCACAGTGTGTATGTTCCACAGCAACAGTTAATTTTTTTATCAATAAATCAAATGCCAAATTATTTTTATAAAATTTTTCCTCTTTGGCACTATAGTTATAGATATCTTTTTCAATATCAACCGATAGAGTATCTAACCCAATATTAACAAACTGATTAGTTGTGCCTTTTATTGTTGCATCCAGTTGAAAATCGATGTCGTGATGCCAAAATATGCATGTCGATGTTGAATTTGAAAAATAATTTTGTACTAAAAGTAAAAAGATATTTAATGGCGGTTCCATGACCTTACACTAAAAAGATTCAGATTCAAAGCCATTACTTATGAAATTAATGAGAATTGACGAATACGTTAGTGCATTTAATTGCATTGATTGCAACATGCTGCTTTGTAGAGAAGATAAATTGCAGTGAGTTCACTTTGAGTATAAATACTATAACGTGACGTTTATATATGGAAGCATACCCAGGCATGAAAAGGCCCATAAGTAAACAGTTTAAGAGCCTAATTGCGTGCGTTCCTATCATTATCAAAGGCACGCATATTTGCACTTAATTTTCTGCTAATATCTCTTAAACTTTTAGTAAACACATATTTTTCTGTTTACATACTGAGCTACATTTTCAAAGCAGTAATAAAAACTGTATTTTATAGGATTTATATATAAGTTATGTATATATGGTATCTAATTGAAATTTTCACGTCATGTGGCAAGACTTCTCGAAAAGTAAAAAGTGTAATAATGAGGGCATAACTGAATAAGTGAATTATAAATAATTATTAAAAGAGATAGTGCACTGCTACCTATAAGATCTATTGTGCCCAGATTAGAGTTTTTCTCCAAGTCCGATTACTTTAATAAAATAGAGTATGAAACCTATCTTTCCTAACCTTAAATCCCTTAAATCAATCAAGTAATTCTTTAGCTTGTTCTATTTAAAAAATTGTCAAACATCCATCATGAGTGATCTTTGAAAATATTCAAGGATTCAATTTTCCGATTATAATTTTTAAACAACAAGTATCAAGCATAAGATATATACAGGGAATACTGTTCCATAAAGCAAACATATGGAATGTTATTGTATATTTTATATAACAAGAAAGAAAATTAAAATACCGTCATATACATATATATTTAAAATATTTAATAAAACTTTGAGTTCATAAAATAACATTAGTTCTTTTAATATTAACCACAGCCAAACTCAACAAGTGCACTTCTATCGAAACCACACCACCGTACAAGTGTCTGTCCAATTTTCCGTATATATATCATTTCCCAACGCCAACATTAATCATTAACTCTAATCCATAGACTAAATTAAACTTAATGCGAATCTATTGCTTAGCGTTTCCACCGCAGACTCTAAATCATTTTTCAATTATTATTGATGATCGCGTTCAGCGCCCAAATGTTAAGCTTGTGGCTTAATGGTCCATACGACCGGCTGTCGTATATTCCGGGCAAATATCTTAAATTAAGTCAACAATAAATAAATAAACTTAATAGTTTAGCAATTTAAATGTCAACCAATTTTAAAAGCCAATATTTGTTGTGTAGGTGTTGGTAATTTTAAATTAAATGCAGTTTTACTTTCACATTTTTTTAAAATAAATTTTTATTTTTTTTATTATATTAAATCTTATTAGTGGCTGAAAAATGCGAAAAATATTTTCCAGTCAAATTTTAAAATTGCAAATATTTTACTTTCACATTTTATATAGTTGCATAGTTTTATTTATAGCATTTATTATTATTATTATTATCTAATTTGGCTTTTTTTACCAAATAAACGTACGCATTTCAATTTAATATTAAAATAAGCAGATATAAATTATTAGCAATAGATAATTGGGATTAAGTCATGTGTGATATCCGCAAATTTCAATTTCTTCAAGCTTTTCACCAAACAAGGATAACTGGTTTCAATAGTTCAAATAATTTTCAATTAACAGGGTTTTTTATAACAAACACTTCAAATACTGATAAAATCCAAAAGAAATTGGAGCAATCTTAATAGTTTGATCAGCCCGAATTAATTTAGTTTAAACAATCCGAAAATTTCAAAGATTTTGAATGGTTCGAACCATATAAAAAGTTCGAATAATTCGAATATATCAAATTCTGTGTGTGCTGTCTAAACTGCTAGGACCTACCTAGTTCAATAAGTTATAATTCTCATATGGTTTGTTATTAATTTTTGCTTAACAAAAATCAATTTTTTTTATTTTGTTATGTTTAACTTTAATACTAACACTAATAAAGTCTTTTTTTTGAAATAACCACAATCATTTATAGAAGATCGACTCCTGGGTCTATATTGAATTCTTATTCATTCCGCTGTAAGGACTGAATTAATTTAATATGACTTAACCCCAACTTGAACTAAATCCACTATAATTCTCATTCAGTGCGTGTTCAACTAAAATGTCAATTCTATAATATTGTCTTTCATTCCAAAATATTTAGGTCTTTAACTTTCGTATATTGGCTTTATACTTAATAACAAAACGTTAGCTCTTCGATATTTCAATAATTTTTTTTAAAAGGCTACTTAAAAAATTTTGAAAATACTTTTCAGATACTAATCAATTTGTATTATTCAATAGTTCAGTTACTTTCCAGATATTACATCTATGAAGTAATACCTATTTACCACTGAGCTTTAGAAATATGTTTATTGTTTATCATTGGGAACTGAAATCGAAAACAGTTTCTAATAAAAATATCGCTCTTTCATATTTGGCACCAACAGTTCTAACGATTGTCTGGCCTGACGAAGAAATCAAATAAAATTCGAATCATCGGTGGTATTTATATAAATGTAAATAAAGTTGTTCATAATTCGCATTGGTTATTTTAAAAAATATTTAATATAGTATTTGAAGTGTTTTATTATGAAATTATTGATTATTATAATCATTACTTCTAAACAGTTCAATTTAACTTATCCCATCTTTATATATTAGATAAATACTCATATATTAGAATATTGGTTTTTCACTTTGAGCTACCTAAACGTCTTTTTCGCTGAGATATTAAAAGGTAGCATGACTGATAGCATGTTAAGTTTATTGACCGATATTTAAATTCAGGTTAGTAATTAGTTTTTTAAATAATAACCAGTAGTATAATTAAGAAAATAGTTTCTTTCAGCATAATTGTCCTTAAAAACTAAATTTAACATAAAATTATATCAATTTTAAAACAGAAACATTAATTTCTACAAGCCGCTTAAAATTTATTATAAAATGAAATCAAATTTATGTGGCATCGGGGCGTATGAGTTACTTTTCACGAGCACCCAAACGAATTTGCAAATGAAAAAATTATGCCATAAAAATGCTTTTCATTAAAATAAGGAAAATAATGGAAATAACGAAAAGCCACTTAACAAATTGAGTAATTAATGAGTTCACATATTTGTAGGCATATCAGCAAATATTGTTTTCCTCCTTCTGTATTACTACACGAACAACAACGAAATGCTTCTGCTCCTGCTCAAATGATAGAGAAAATAGTCCAGCAATAAACAACAAAACGAAATTGTACATTCGAGATAAGCGAAAAAAAAAAAATAAATGAAAAATCGTATGAAATCACTTTATTTCAAACTCTATTAACGATAACATATTCCAATATATTTTGCAGTATTTGCAGTATTCGTAGAGTAAAGATACGCAGCACTTAAACACAAATCCAATAGCTAATATACATATAGCTACATGCATATGTAGCATGCTATATGCTGCATGCTGCATGCAGTATGCAGTATGCAATATGTTGGATTCAACAATTGTTGCATGTGTGTTTGATTATGTTTATGCTTAAGATCAACAATCAAGCATTTAACCCGACATTCATTATCGCTCCAATAAACACATGCGCGCCTGCCATCATAGCACTGCCAAAGCAATCGCTATGTTGATGCTACAAATGCTACAAATGCAGATGCAACATGCAGCAGCAGCAGCAAGCAGCATGCAGCATGCAAGATACTGACCGGCTGGTCTTTTTGACTTTTCATTTGTATCAACTCTGCTTGGCAAATGGACACATGAGGTTGGAGACCAATTTTAACTTTTCGAATTGGTTCAACTATATTGCCAGCTTGAAACATTTTTCCTACTTTACAATTATTTTATATTTTCTCTTATATTTTATTTTTCTTTATTTGTTTTTTATTATTGTATTTATTTCTTTTATTCGATGTGCTACTTTGTCTACATACTTTTTTTGTTGCAACCAGTCGCAATAAACGATCAACATAAATTCACCTGTTTAAAGCTATGAAAACTGATTTTTTATTTAACTGTTGATGTTGCTAGTTGTTGTTGCCATTGCTCTTGTTGCAACAAGACTGCTAGCGTATTTGTTGTTGTTGTTATTCAGCTCGTTAGTTAATTTAAGCTGTAAATATTATTGCAGATACGTTTCCATTATTAAATTAACTAGAATGCGATTACAATTTGAAGTGAAATGAAATGCCTATGCCAGTGCCGAAGCCCAAGTCTAAACCTGAGTCTACCTATGTTGTATATGCAAATAAATTGCGTTTACTCGTTTATTGTCCATTGGTCTATTATATGTTATCAGCAACATTTAATATTTCATGTATAAGTGAAGAAAACAAAATAACACAAATAGTTTTTAACACTATTAAATGTATTGAATCGATGAGTTTTCATTTAATTAAAGCGAAAGTTGTAAGATTGTTTTTCGAACAATAATATAATGAAGTAACAGTGTCAAGATATATATATATGTAGTAATATGATATTTATATGTAAACCAAGTATTGTAAATTTTAAAAACACAGTGTATTTATAAAATACATATCAATATAAAGTGCTTTGACTACGAGCGGAACTTATATTAAAAAATTATAGTGTGATTGATTCCCCATAATGGTTCCCATATCACTATATATTCCATATAGTGCTTAAAATATACATAAGAGTACGTATTTATTTATAAGAGTACGTAACGTATTTATATGGTTATGTCTTCTCATATACGTAGCTTGATTGATTGCTATAAGGAAGAGAAGAGGTTGTTTGCAATATGACGTCATGACATTGCTTGCTAATGAAGGGTGACTCTGAGCTTCAAATTTGTCAGGGCATAAGTTTAACCCTTGGTACTTGCTATCTCAAAAAATTATTTACGAATAATTTAATACAAGAAATTTTTCCAAAACCACTGATGATGAGTATTTGGTAAAGCTTAAAACAGCT